ACGCTTAGGGCAGATTGGTCTATATGCTCGTAGATCTGTCAGATGCGTTTCACTTACTGCAACTCACTGTCGCCTGCGGTTAGCCTGGAGTAGAGAGCATGCATTGTGGACACCGCAACGGTGGGCTTGTTTGATGTTTTCCGACGAGTCCAGGTTTAGCTTGCAGTCTGATTCTCGCCGAACTTTCATATGGAGAGCTCCAGGACCCGTTACCACCAAAAAAACATCATTGAACGACACCGTTACGGTGGTGCAGGAGTGCTCGTTTGGGGTGAATTATTCGGGGTTCCAGAACTGACCTTGCATGTTCAAATTGGAACATGACAAGCCAAATCTATTGGGGTGTCATTCTGGAACAACATGTACGTTTGTTTCGGGGCGCCATGGGCGCACAATTTGGGTTTATGGATGACAACGCTCGTCCTCACCGTGCAAACATCGCAAACGAATGCTTGATTAGTCAGAGGATATCACCCGTATGGACTAGCCAGCATTCTCACCGGACTTGAATCCAGTAGAGCACGTGTGGGACATACTTGGCCGACGAGTTGCAGCCCGTCAACCTCCTCCTACATGTCTACCGGAACTTCGGAGATCATTGCTTTTTGAGTGGTGTAATATCCCCCAAGATCAGATCGATAATTTGATGCTCGGCATGCCTACGGCGTTGTACGGACTGTATTGCATCGTCTGGGAAGACATGCAATGTATTAACAATCATACCAACACGTAAATATTGGTTTTTTGTAAAGGGTTTTTTTTTTTTTTTTTTTTTTTTTTTTTTGTAATTGCTCCCGGGAGAAAAAATTGCTAATTTTTTAATAATATCAAACACATAGCATCTTTTTTTGCTGTTTACCTTTTGCTTAATAAATAAGTTTTACAAATAAGTCAAATTTGTTTTGCTTCTAACTCTTCCTTTGCCTGATTTTGCATTATCCTTAATTTATGGACATGAGTGAATATTAATTTTACTACTTATAACGTATACATTATTTATTTAATGCGTTTTATTGTGTATTTGTTGTTAATCAAATTTTTATCACTTACTGTTCTTGTAAGTGTTGATTTCGTGTACATTCTCATAGGTCCTTTAATTATGAAATGATTGATGTTTCATTTGTGAGGATTGCTCAGTAGAATCTGTGATATGGGGAAAAAAATCCTCCTTTCAGTCTTTGGCATTAGTTTTATGGAAAGTTTGGCGACATTTAATGGTTTGTAGCTTGCGTGGTGATACTTCCGAAATTTCTCTGAAAAGTAGAAGATCCAAGAGCGAGTTTTCGCGAAGATAACAAAATACATAGAATAGATAACATTCTCGACTCTTGAGCAATCTTATAAATAGAGCGTTGAGCAATCTTATAAATAGAGCGTTACGATCAACTGAAAGTTAGTTAGTCCAAGTGTTCAACTCAGAGTTGTGTGATTGCATTCAGCTTCTACTCGATGAGCATTGCTTTGTAGCTTACTTTATAAGTGATAATAGTGATCTGCGACATTTCTTTCGTATTAAGGAGAATTCGCCTTATCTCTGCTTTTCTCCGTAACTTTATCTATAGCTGTTTACCTTGGAATATGGGCTATTATTTTTTACAGAAAAATTTTGTTTTTTACTTCCTTGTACGAAGTAAAAAGGAAGTATTGTAATCGCGAAAAGTTTCAGGCAGCATATTTCAACGAAAATAACCATTTTGACCGCTATCGAATGCAATTGAACGATGTTTTCGCGTGATATCTGTACGTAAGGACAGAATAAAATACTCTTTTCCTTCAAAAAAATTATAAAACTGCTGTAAAATTAATTCTGATAAGAATTTTTCGTGCCGTCTGTACGAACGTATGTACGTACGGACGTATCTCGCATATCTCAAAAACGAGTAGCCTCAGAACGTTGAAATTTTGTATATATGACTGCTATAACATGTAGATGCAACCTCGTATTTTGATTGCAATCGGCCGCACCAAACGTATATCAATATATTTATATATATATATCCACTCTGTTACCCGTCAGTGATCTCAGTTTTCTTAACTCTTATATGTTTGTAAATTGTACATATTTTTGCTTTAAAATGATTGTATTGTGTTGTTTTTATCTTCGGTTTTAAGATTTTATGCCTTTAGTAAATCTGTACGCAACTTTTAGAATTATCAACAATTTTACAGTGTCTAAGTGCTGCTAAGCCTTTTTTTATGGCGTCCATTGATGTTTACATTTTGAAACAGGAGGCTAGTGGATTTGTTGCCAATCAGAGAAACTAGCTTCGCAACAACAAGATAACGCATTCATTTATTATTGCGAATTAAATCATGCTTAATTCTTTCGTAATTTTTCGAGGAAAATAAGTGTTTTTAAGGTTTACTTCGTAATTTTTAATATAGATATTTTGAGTTTTTATGTATTTTTGCCTTCTCGCGAAGTGAGAGCTGAATTAATTAAATGAGAATCTCAATCGTCTGTGAAAAACTGTTTTTGTTTTGTTTGCTTAATTTCTTTTATACATCCATTCTAGCTTTATTATAGTTTGAATAGAACATGTGGCAACGATTTAGATAATTCTATTTTTAAATGATATAAATTTTGTGCATTATGATTATTAATATGAACGAATATATACGTTAACTGTTATATAATATTGGATTTATATAACAGTTAACTTAGTTTCCGTTATTAATTATAAGTTAACTGTTATAATTATTAATACGTTAAGTGATCTAGCGCCAGATTGTCGCTATGGTAAACAAATACAGAGTGAATTTAAAGAATGCATTTATTCTATTGGGTTTATGCGCTGGTCGGAAGTAGATTTAATTCATCCAATAAGTTTAAATGAAATGCAAGAAAAATGCGTATAAATTAATGTTCCGTACAAGGAAGTCATGTGGTTAAACATCAGATTTTTTTCCCTATTCATTTGGTGTAGTTATTAAATTTGCATTTAATATGGTGTTTTTTTTTTTTTTTTTTTTTTTTTTGTAACCCTTAAAAACTTAGGTGGAAAATAGAAATTTCATAATAATGACGTATTCTATTATCTTCTTCGAAATACTGAGTATTTCCACAGTAAAAGGACTTTTGATTAATGTTAATATAAAGTTTTTAATTTGGGGGGGAGAGAGCTGAAGAGAAGGAGAGGTTAGTTTCGAATTTAATATTATGGCAACAACAGCTTGAGATTTTTCACTCGTTGTAAAAGCTGCACCTGCTTTTAAAAGGCGAATTTTTAAACTGTGCTAGCAAAACAGAAATTATTACTCATTCACTTGAGCAAAATGATTATTTTAAATTAAGTAGTGTCTCCCATACTCGACTCTTGATTACTCGACATTCCGTATAACTCGATGATCCCTTTTATTTAATCCCTAAATAATTTTTGCTAGTCAAGCAGAACACTTTCTTTAATATAGTGGTTTGTTAGCAGATAGACTGTAATAATTTTTAACATTCGCTATGCAGTGCAAACAATACATTTTAATTACTGTATTCTTTATGCGTTTGAATGGCCACAGGCTGTCCTGTTAATTCTAGTCTCATTTCTTCTCTCAATAATAAAGTGTTTTAAGAAAGTGACGTAGCCACTGTCGATTATCACTGTTAATTGGTGACGAAGGAGTAAGACACCGGAAGTCAGTTGACTTCAGTTGAAAACATGTCATTTGCAGACTGCTGTATTTTTAAGCTTGTTGTCTGGTGATAACTGCCTTTTTTTTTTTTTTTTTCCCTGTTCATCTGGGCTAATTATTTAAGGAGATATTTATGAATTCGTCCGCATGCATCAGTAGCATAAATACAGCCTTTATATGACTTTTAAATTCAAAAAATAAGCTTGACGACTTTTATTGCAATGCAGTATATGCCCTTAATGTGATCGCTGTTAATGTTATCATTTGGATATTAATATCGAATTGCCCAAGGTCCTTCCCGTTTGTATACAAAAGAATGGAACATATATCGCTTATTGTGATGAAACATTCGGTTAATATCATCCAAGTAATATAGAATAATACTGTTAAACTGAATGAAGTTGCGAAATAAGATCAAAATATGTTATAAAATTGCCAAGTGTCAAAAAAATGTCACCAAGTCAGGGTAGTCAGCAAGTCACCAAGTCAGTCAAAAAATGTCACCAAGTAGGGGATTAAAGAGCCAAAAACCTGTTTTTGATTTTAGTCAACCAAATTAAAATAAGGGGAAAAGCGCAACCTTAGATGGCATAGATTTTGAACAACTCTGTCGATATTGAATGGGATTACACATAGGTCCCTCTTCTTCAAGAGCAAAGCAATTTCTGCAAAAGTTCCCCCCCCCCCTGCTTTTGGGAGAAATCCCCAGAAACTCTTGGGGGAAGTTCCATCTAAGCCGAACTAAGGTCGTCTTTTGCGTAATTTTAAATTTTATATTTGCATGTTTGCTGTTTTGATTGATTTTTTTTCTTATCCTTTAATGTTATCATTCGATTAATGTTTTCATAATAACCATAAACAAACGTTATCACATTAAGCCGCACCTTTAATATTCACTTTATGATTGTTTTCAAGAACCCAGCTTGAAATGTCTTGGGCTTGACCTGAACAATTGTGTTTAATCTGATGTCCATGACAGTACTCACGCAAAGAAGAAATGCTTGATAACGCCATTTATTCGTTCGAGCTCTGAACTAATCATGAAATTTGCTCAAATGAATTTTTTCCCCCTTCGTTATTCTTATTCTTCGTTATATCCCATTCTCATGTTTTATATTAACTTTTTGTCCAGAGACAAAAATTGCTGAAAGTATATTATAGTATTAAAATGATGGAAGTATCGGATTAGTCGAAATAAAATTGATGAAAATGTTATTAAATGGAGGTATTATGTTAATTAAGAAATAATGCTTCCCCCATATCTCAAAAATTCTGATAAGCGATTCAAAACCCAAAGTTAAAGGCCTAAATAATTGCTTTTTAAAAATAGGAAAAATAAGAAATATGAACAATACAAAAACACAAGAATCGTATTCATAAGAAATGTTTTATTTATCTCTCATGTATTATATTAATAAATAATACTTCACAGGACATGGATATAATACATTAGTCGTTCATATGTGCATCATTTTCAACAGCTTATAGTATTTTTAAAACAGTAGCACGTTTTTCATCTAGTCTAACCTGATTTTCGTCCTTACTTACCAGGCCCACCTAAAAATTCAGAGCCTTCAGGCTCGGAATAATAATATGGCCTTTTCCTTCCTGGAGGATAAGATATCTGGAAACTTCCATCAATGAAATCCTTTCTTAAAATAGGTCGAATCCTCTGCCCGTTATATATGAACTCCCGATTGGGATTCAGTAGCATATTGCCATTTGGCATCCCACCAAACATTTCTTTCCACCTTCTGGATTGAGGACTGATAACGAATTTTGAAATTCTTTTTTGAAGTTCCATAGCCATTTTGTTTTCCGGTGTATCTTCAATCTGTGGATGGTTTTTGAATGCGAAGCTGCCATCGCTCGAGGGTAGAAAGTTTGGGCGGAAATGATAGTAGTCTGGGTTCCGATCAACAACGTTCGCTTCATGGGAATCCGCGTAGTCTTCACTGCTAGATGTTACAGGCAAGTCTATAAAAAGATACATAGCATAAATAGGAATCATGAATAATTTATAGAAAATGACAGTCATTAGAATATTGCAAAATATAACGCGCCAAGTAAAACACTCTTTAACAATGAAAGCTATTAGACTTTCCGAGGTTAATCACTACGAAGCTTCCGAAGGTGACCAAACCCATGGCCAAAACAATATGTGCAAAGTGGTGCATTTTGTAATTGGCTACAACTCTCAAAACAACACAAAGCAGTATAAAGCAATGACGTGTGTACCCCCAATATTTGCAAACACAGCTTGGTACACATTACGCGTCTCTGAGTTTTCAGGCATTTGTCATCAACGAATTCTATGTTACTCGCTTGTTGGAATTTGATGTACACATGCTGCCGAATTCGTGTCACTTCATGCTCCTCTGTGGCCCTTATTTTAACATCCGTAACAATTTGCAACTAATTTTGGTATTTTCTCGTAAATTATAGTAGCTGTTGCTAAAGATTTGTGTTGTTTAGGTAGTTGTAAACGACTCTTGTCCAAAGCGCTTGTCGATTTACGTTGAAACTGGATCATATTTTGGTAAATTCCTATTTCTTTCCTTCTATTTCTTAGGTCTATTTCTTACGCAGCATAAGATTGACAATTCATTTGGCTAATCGTATAATATACTTTATACGCAAATATTGCAAGCCCATGCGGCATTTTAAAAGCCCTCTTCAGGGGGTTGTGGGTGATTGCAGAATGCCATGTTTTGCACTTGTTGTTTTGTTCATACCTCCTTCATGTCCTTGAAAATTCGATTGCAGCTAAAGTAGGCGATTGTGTTTGATTCACTAAAAGTGCCTCTACTGACATATATATATATATATATATATTATGCATACATCTTATATATTTTCACACTAACCCAATATAATCTGAAAATTAATATGAGCTCTTTTTATGAACGGCAACCAGTGCCGACTTGCGTTTGAAACAGTTCATACAAGTTACGCTGTGCGAAATGCACGGGCATGGCGCTAAGACCGTAAAAACATTCCACAGAGGAAAATGTAAAATATCAAGTATTCTTTCGAGTCCAAAGTGTGAGATTAAACTGCTGGCGATTGATGCGGATGTTAAAACAGTTATACATCATAGTATGATTCTTAAGGGAAGTTTTCGACGTCGCTGATTATTGCGGCAGTTGAAACATCGATCCCCCACCACGCGGGCCTCAACTAAAGTATCCAAACGTCTCTGATTGGTGCGGCGATGGGACATGCAACCCTTTAAACCCCGACCAAGCAGTCGGTCAACATCTTCATACAGCACCAGTCAATCACAATAGTCATTTTTGTACTATTTTTCAAATAATAAGCTCGCTGTAGTTTATTTTTTGAAAATGTCGGTTGAATTTCGAAGTGGCAAACAGATTGTTGTCTTAATCGGAGTGCCTAGCTACCAAATAAATGACGCGAAATTACCATCTAATCGACAAGTTCTTGCAGTCTTGTTTTACAATATTCGCGTAGTTTAGCTCAGTATCAGTGAAAGTGCAAATCTTATGATTCGGGAATGTATTATATTTTGGGAAAAGGAAAGCATTCCCACAAAAGCATTTCCTAACTGCATGAAGAAACTCGTTGATTTATATTATGTTTGGAGAGAGCTTCAAAAAATTGCATGAAAATTCAGGACTTTTTAAAAGCCGTGAAAATAGTTTTGAAAAGAGAGCTGGACAACTTATTTAATATTGCTCATGCTGATGTTTTTAAAAGAAGGAAAACAGAAAAAGACAAAATATTTTTGATAAAACAAAGAGAGCCAGGGCGCTTAGCCGTTGTAGACAAAAAGTTAGCGGATAATGAAGAAAGGGCAAGGCAACGGAAATTAGAAGAAGAAAAAGAAAGCGGGGACAAAGTTGCATTAGCTTCTTCTTCACAAAAAGTTTGCCTCCCTAATGATCCAGACGAAGAATAAGAGATTGGGAGTTCTGGAGTCAACTTGCAAAAGGTTTCGCTCACACGTTAGTCTGAAACGCGTTCCAAAAGAGGAAGAAAGAATCTAATTACTTCTAAATGAGTTGCAGCTTTAGACATGCCAGCTAAGCATAAGAGACTCCATTTATATTTTTCAGGTGGTCGTAGAAGCATTGGGTCTGAGCTGTGATGAATTTCCAATAAACAAATCCTCGATTCAACGAATTAGAACACAGATGAGAAAAATCAGAGCAGAAGGTATACAACCTTATTTTCAGAAAGATGTGCCTGACGTAGTCACAGTTCATTGGGACGGAGAGCTGTTACGAGGCTTAGATATGAGAAGTTCAAAAGAAGAACGCCTGCCAATACTCATTTCATTTGATGATACAGAACAACTTCTTGCAGTACCAAAATTGGAGAGTTCTTCTGAGAAAGATCAAGCTGAAGTCGTTTGAAATGCACTCTGTGATTGGGACCTTAATGGCAAGGAACAATAATGTGTTGTGACACAACAGCTTCGAACACACTGGCCGCTTCAATGGAGCTTGTGCCCTTTCGGAACAAACTTACAAAGGGAAATGTTACTTTCCCCTTGACGCTATGATGTTTATGGGTTGGTTCTTAAAACTGTGTTCGAAAAGTCAAACAAGTCGTAGCAGTCCAGATATTCCGCTCTTCAAGCACTTTCGAGGCAAATGGAAAAACATTGATTCAAATAAGATAGAAGTCTGGACAGATTTCGTAATACAGCAGTTTTCTGATATGAAAATTACATCTTTGCTAACATTTATACAATGGAACTAGACAAAATTTTCGTAAGAGATGATTATCGCGCATTGATCGAACTATTTCGCTAATATTTGGGAAAAGCTAAATATTTGGGAGAAGAGCCAGAGACGAAAATAAAAATTAGGCCTTCTAGACCTATGTATCAGGCAAGATGGATGGCAAGAGCGATGAATTCTTTAAAAATATGAGCTTGCTTCAGTCTCAGTTCAAAATAACCGCGAAGGACAAACAAGCCCTTCAAGATGTCTGCTTGTTTATTGTTACAGTATATGCAAAACCTTGGTTCGAATGCACAGTGGCGATAAAAACACCTCGCCAAGATTTATGCTTCTTGAAGACGTTAAAGAATTACGAAAACGTTGACACAACAGTTTCTAAAGCAGTGTTAAGAAAGTTTAGCCAACAAATCAAATAAGTTTTTATCAAATAAGTTTTTGGCCATGTGAGGAAACAGTCATGTTATCACTCTTTGATAATGAAGTTGATAACCAAATAAAGAAGAAAACGGTTGTCAACTTTCAAAGAACAGCAAACATTTGTCATCTCGACTAAATATCGACTACAGTTTTCTTCAGATAAGTGTGTCTTCATGAGAAAATAATGCTGCTTATGCGGAAGCTAAAAGAAAAGTTAGTCGTCTAAAGGTTTTAAATGACACTGCTGAAAGAGCTATCAAATTGATGCAAATTTTTACGAGTTAATCACAGCCGAAGAAGATCAAAAGAAATTAATCTATATTATGCAATAACAGGTACATCATTCAACAATAGGTACATAATGCAGATACGCTTTAGCCAATGACGATGCAGGTGCGCTTTAACTAATCACGATGATTTAAAAACGAAATTAACCCTTTGCACTCGAGTGGTGCCTCTCAGGCACCACTGCATGTGATGCGATAACTCGAGCTGTGCCTGAGAGGCACCATTCGAATCGATGTGTTTATCTGTGTTTGACCTAAGGAATATCGCTTGAGAGATCTACTTGGCCTTTTGTAGATCATATTACGAGGTGTCTGAATAGCTATAAGGATGTTTTATCTCAAATAAAGGTTGTCTTTGCAATGCTTATGCGATTAAATGTCTTATCTCAAAAATACTTGCCACCGCGGGTAGGACTCTGTCTTCGACATCAGTTCAAACTCAACCTTCTTGCCGATCGCAGTATTTCTTTTAAAGTTACTGAGCCCAATAAGTATGGAACACGACGAAGAAGTTACTTCGAGCGAAGATAAGTTTAATTTTTCGGCAATAACGAACGAAATTACATCACTACATAGACAGCTTGCCCATGAGAACGAAGACGGAAGTGATAAAGATAGTGACGACGTTAGAGGAGCAAGAAGACGAAAAATCCGAATAATCGATAGTGAATCTGGAAGCCAAAGTTATTGTACAGAAGAGACTGAACCTTCAGAATGGACAGTGTGCACAGAAAAGCGCCTCGAGCGCAAAGGGTTAACTTTGGAAACTATAACGTTTTGATTCTCTTCCAGGCTTTCTTTTGAATGCATCAGACACTTTCCCTTTCGAATTAGCTTCTGTTACACTAAGCTTTGCTTGCTTTCAACTAACGTCGAACTAACAATGTAACGTCGTCGTTTTCCTCTCTGTATTTCGTCCATTGTATCTGCGTTAAGATGTAGAAAATTTCCAAAAATGTGAAGAGTGGGTGCAGTTTGCGCCAATAATGATGTATGAAACAGAATATGCTTCTGATGAGTTATTTTGTCCAGAAATAAATTGCATCAAATTCTCACGATGGGTGCGTTTGAATGCAACAACGCAATTAACGCATTCTGCACACCACCACCTTGTACAACCCTCGTTCATGACTGAAGTACATGTATATTCTATCGCATCCTAAAATATTACAAGTATAAAAGAGTCGACAGGTTTCTATGAACTTGTTTGCGTTTCTATTGGTATACAGAAAGAAATATCAAAATTAAAAGGAAAATTTACGGAGCTATTGCAAATTTCAATTAGAATTTTGATTTATATATTTTTTATTTAATACCTCTATTAGAAGAATTAGAATTTTGAATTTATTAATGTGGTGAAATTAGTGCCAGACATAAACTGGCTGCAGCAGTTCTGTCTGGTATCTTAAAATAGCAATTACATGATATCCGAAAACAAGTACAGTCAAAAGTCTTTAATCCGGACTTCCATAAACTGGACCTCAAGCTACAAACTTTCTGTGCATGCGTCAACGCATAATGTATAACGGACGGTATAAGCTAAGCTCTAATTATCTATTTCAGTTAATGTTGCAGATTGCGTTGTTCTAATTGGATCCGACTTCTTATTTTTTGCAGACTGTTAGAGCAATTTTATAGAAGTAAGCTTGAACTTTCGATTATGTCAAAAAGAATTTCCGATTCTGGAGCTACCAAAGGATCTACAAAGCGAAAGCATGTTTCGATGTCCATCAAACAAAAAGTGGAATAGCTGCAAAAAATGGATAAAGGCATATTCTTTGATTCTCTAATCATTCCGAAATATGTTTATCAATTGCACGCTGCTCTGCGGGAAAGGGGGGAAACGACGCGGCGCGCAATGAACTGGAAGTTGATCTGTCAGCACTATCCTTATCTTCAAAGCAGATGTTTTTATTTTATTCCGCTTATGACTTCTTGCAAAATGTAGTATTTCATCTCGATGTACTCCGTCTTTGATATGATTTAAATCGAATTCCTCGTCATTATAAATATCGCGAATACACATCAAATAGTTTTCTGTTTGCAATTTTCTAATTTCGACTATGCGTAATGTATGCTTTACGCATGCGCGCGTTGAAAGAAATGTTTAATAAAAAAAACAAATAAATATTAAGCTTTTTTTTTTTTTTTTTTTTTTTTTTTTTTTTGTAAATTTTGATACTCTTTAGATCATAATTGCTCTTTATTTCATAAATTACGGTTTCATATTTTTAATTTTATAATTTTTGCATGCCATCTTACCAGATTTAAACTGATGATCTATAATCCGGAAAAACCGATAATCCGTAATCGCTGAAGTCCCGATGAGTCCGGATTAAAGACTTTTGACTATACTAAAAGAAGGAATGCCTGTTTTGCAAAAGTTTGATTTGTAGATTTAATAACTATGGTTTTATAGATATTCCAGAATTTCATATTCTGGAAAAATTTCATTATCGATGAAGGAAAAAAAAGGAACCTGTTGTATATACACATGCCAATTTCTGAAATGGCATAGCATTTAGTATACTTTGAGAAGTCTTTGGATAATCAATTAGAAATTCTTATTAAAATTTAGTACAATTGCAATTAAAAAGTACATACAATTGCTATTACGTCTTTTGCAGCAATCGATGTTTTATTACCGCTTACCAAAATCGTCTAAAAAATGTGCGAACAGCCTCTATATTTTAAAACGATAAACAATACATATCGTACAAAATATGATGTATACGGCAAACAATAATAAAAATTCACACGAAAATTGCATAATATTTACCTAGATATCTGTTATTTCGAAGTTCTGGTGATGCCTTCACAGCAGCAAAACTGAAGAAAATATTGACGACAGCAAAATATCTCCAACTAGGACTCATTTTAACTGACCTTAAAATAAAATTTATTATTAGATTTCATTATAGGCACATTTATTTTAAGTACTAAAATGAAAATCATATTTAACACGCAATAAATTTAATACATATGACTGTTGAAATTTTATCAAATATAATCATATATTAAAAGTAAATGTGAGTTATTGGAAGAATTGAAGCAACAAGAGTCAGACTAAATTAATAAATTTGCACGACTAGTTTCGAAGGTTTAAATGTAGAGCTTGCTTCTTCAGCTGCAGAAGTCCAAATAACGAAAAAAAGCCAATGATGAAACAAGGTAAGGCGATAAGAATCAGAGGATGGAGTCAAGCTACTGGCGCCCTCTGTTGATAAAAATTAAAACAACTATGACATAATGTTTCTCTGTAACTTATATTTAGTTTGGATGTATATTCCCCTCTATTCGGATGTAGGATCGTATTTTCTTTGGCAACATAAACTCTACTAGATCCTATTATCCTGGCGACTTCTCTCACAGCCGTAAATGACACCAGCATAAGAAAAGGGTAAAAATAACCTTTTTATTTATTATTACACAAACACTGAACAGAAAAGGCACTTACTTTGTGCTTACAATAACATCAACAACTTGCGGTGGAACTTAAGAATCGTTACACAAGAATTCAAAGCTAAAGAATAGTGCTGTACTAAGACCTTTAATTTAAGGCTAACTAGGTTGTCCCAAGAACCTACCCGACGTGATAATTGTTTAAATGGCTAAAAAGGCGTATAACAATTCCGCGTAACAGCAAGAACAGACTCCTAACGTACGCTGGCCAGCGAAAACACGCTCTGAATAAACTCCAAGATTCACCCATTTAAGAACTCACTTCTTTTAAATTTGCATCCTGGCGAGGAAATGCGAGAGGAAGTTGAGGAGTTCAGAAAAGATAACAAAAATTTGAATAATCGGTTAACTGAACTAAGGGAAATCCTACACGGGAGCTTATGTATCTGCTGCTTCTAACGTGCTTTATACGCCAAGAAATTTAATAAGGTTTGCCTTTGTTCAATTGAAAAGTGGCTGTTATTCACGACCCAGAATTTTTAATACAGACGTTCATGATTGAAAAAGAAAATATGAAATCACAATAAATAGCAAGATTATAGTGGAAAAAAATAATAAGAATTTTTTTTTTTTTCATTGAGATGAGTTTTTAATCTACTGGTTAAAAAGCGATTAATTCTTAAAAGTTCTTGCCATGTATTTTTTACATAATATTCCTAAAACGGGATAGAAATATTTACGCAGCATTCCTACAATTTACTTGATATGAATCTGGAGACAGATAGATCGATGCACAGACTTCAAATCAAAAACTAAGACATTTACATAGGGTGTTTGCACATTTTAGAACGATATGGATAACAAATTTTAAAAAAGCTAATCTTTTGGAATAAAAATTTCTAGCAAAAGCTTGTTATGTGAAATGAATAATATCGTCCGCTACTTTTAAATTTATTCTTCTTTCAAAATGTGGCGTGTAAACAAGCCATGGTCGAAGGATGTATTTTTGAGCTTTCCGACGAGAATTATTCCTATTGCGCATAATTCAAAAACGTTGCGAAAATGCATAGTATTGAAATTTCTAAGTGCAAAATAAGCAGTATTATTAATCCGAAAGAGAAAAAGGTTCAATCATCACTTTTACGTGGTATGAAGACTTTGAATGAAAAGGTATGTGTTGATAAAAAGAGAAAATGCGGCGACGCAGAAATGAATTGCAGAGTCCTTAAATACATCTCTAGCAACAATAAATAAAATAATCTCTAGCAACAATAAAGTAAAATTAAGATTTACAGCTTAAAAATGCTAAAAAATATAATGTTCACCAGGTTTTGCCGAGTCATGTGGCTTTTTTTCCCAGTCAGAACGTAACATGATTACAACACATTGATTGGTGTCTTTCGACTCTCACTGTGTTGGATTATTCTTGCGCATTGAAGTTTTAATGTTATTACTTTATGATTTTGTGAATTAAAATTCCTACTGTAGAGGCATTTATGATATGGAACGAAAAAATTTCCCCATTAAATTCTACCGGATTCTGTCGCGTGGTCTGGCTCGGGGATGATATTTGCTATTAAGGATATCGGACTTTCGACGAAAATCGGCAAGAATTTATTAGCAAGGAAGTTTACACTTTAAATGACTATGTATACGCCCTGCATCAAATATTAATACTTCTGGACATAAGAACCAAGGATTATATGTGTCAAATCGAAACGGATTATCCGGCTCTTCGGTTGGACTATCAAAAAGAACGCGGATTTGCTGAAAGACTTATGGGATGTTTCTGAAGGTAAAGCGAGACTCTTTTGGTGCTTCCAATCCTGACTTTACAAATTGTTCCATCACTGCTGTTATAAAGCTCAAAATTCGAAATGATGTTAAAATTAGTAGTTCTAATGTAATTTTTGTAAAACATTAATGTCGCAAATAAAGGTGTCTTAGATAATGACAAAGGTATTGTTAAACCTAAAAGATCTTCTAAGAAAATGAGCAAGCGGTCAATAAATGACTTACATGATGCGGATGGTTTCATCCAACCCAAACGTACGTATGGCTTTTCTGAAAATTTTCTGATATCGTGTTTTAAATATTACGAACTCAACACATTAGCATAGCCGCAATCAGAATTCGTCTTCTTCTATATGAATCTAATGGCTATTATGCATCATCGCTGCTCTGTTTTTCTCCTTGCTATTACATTTTCACATGAACTTTATAAGCGATAAACTAACCCAGTGGACGGGGCGCGCGTCACCGACATGTCGACAAGAAAGAGTAGGGACGATCTGGTTTACTTTAATACTCAAACCTATGGCGTTTGTATCACTTACTCGTTTTAATTATTAAATGTCATACGTTGTATAGTGATAAGATTATGAAAGCCACAGTTTTTTCCAAATAGGATTTAAAATATCTCATTAAAGCACTCTTTACTGCATTTCGCGCATTTTTTTCACGCGTAATTCTTGTACAAACATCTTTATTTTGGTAAATCGGTAAAAACTCTAGGCACAAAATTTATGAACTTAATTTTGCGTTCAAATAAAGTAAAATTAAATAAGATTGATAGCACGTGATGCTTTGAAATAAATAAGGTAAAATTAAACAGGATCTGATAATTTTTTTTAAAAAAATAAATGACCATTTTCAGGCAGTGATTTTCAAAACTATAATAACATTACAAAACAGTCATTTATTTGATTGTATCATCATTAACTTATTAACATTAAAGTGGAATATTTATTTTAGTAATTTATAAAATTCCGAGCATAAAATTTTCTGAGTGTAATGAAGGGGAAAAAAGGTAAAATAACATCTAGAAGCACTCAGATTTTATATTACGCCCAAAAGGAACCTTTTTTTAACGTTTTGTGTGTTACCTATATTTATTGAATATCATGTTCGTCGCCCGTAAACCACATACATTTGAAAACAGCATACCTTTAGAATTTCCGCACTGGAGATAAAACTGTTATTTTCTGTACATTGCTCGCTCTAAATTCGTTGAGTTTGTTAATCAAAAATTCGTTAAAGTTTTACAAAATATGAAATAGATTAAATCAAATTTGAAATTCGGCCGCCCAGATGCCCATGTTCGGGTGGAGGATTGCATTATTCAAAATTTGATGGCTCTAGATACTGTCGTTTTTGTCACAGTGCGAGAAACATACATGTATGCAGATTCTTCATTTTTTAATTTCTTTAAATATAATACAGGGCGATAATATTTGGTAACAACAATTTGCAAGGAGACACGGACATTTATAGTAAAACAGCGAAAAAAGCCGCTTCGAAACTAACAGCCTTTCTAGGCTACCGCTCTTTTAGGCTAATAAATTAAATTAACAGTAAAATAAAAAAATCTTCTGCAGAACTAAAAAAATTTTAAAAAAATAATCACTATAAAATACAAGCGAAATTAATTATTACGGTTAAATACAATTTTAATATTAGAATTAAATGTATAAAATTTTTTAAGGAGTAAAAAATGTTTATCACTATGATGTATTATGAAATATAATTGAAATAAAATTCCTTAATATAGAAATAAATAGAAATTGCGCTTTAATACTCATCTATAATTTTAAAAAACAGCACAATTTAGAATTTTGAACACAACTTTCAAAAATTCGTTTTTAAATATTTTAGTATTTTTTACTCATTTACACCAATAAAAAGCATTAAAACTGCAAGAGAAAATTGCTTGATTGAAATTTTCTATTAGTTCAGATTTAAAATATTATTTTCTAAAAGAAGTACCGTAATTTCGCACGTATAGTCCGCACGCAAGATTTTATATAAAAAAAATTTCAAAAGTCGTCAGATAGTCCGCACCACCGGATAGTCCGCGGACTATACGTCCGAAATTACGTTTTTTTAATACGGCAATATCCCCATGCTTTTAAACACAATCCTTTGCGCCAATTTCTCACCACCGCTTTCTCGTCCACTTCAAAATAACGGGGTAAAATCCTAGTATACGGTGCAGCCTTGGCGCGACTTTGAAAATTATATTCGATCGCCAACACCAAAATGATCCAAAGAACGTCTATATATATACTATGCACTATATACTATGTGTGTATATTAGTATATATACTATATATGTAGTATATACTAGTTAAACTATATATTTTTTTTAAATGACCCGTTAACTACTCATCGTATATGGTCCCGTTTTTACTGCTCATCATAAAGTCGCCAAAAGTAGCCAAATCCCGTGTGCACCGAATACTAGGATTAAACCAATAACGGCCCGCTACTCTCTTTCCATCTTTTTTCTGGCGATGTTTCATCAACGTTATCGAAGATGAATACAAAAATACTGTGGGCAACGTGCTGTACTCGTCATAAGTGGTAATGAAATGTGACCTTCGACCCCACTCACTCGGTGTTGCCAAACCACCGAGTAAACGAATCATGCTTTTTTTTTTTTTTTTTTTTTTTTTTTTTTGTACTCCAGGTACTTGCTACTATGGC